GAGACTGACACTCGAGCGCACTTTTCGTAGTGCCAGTGACTTTTTCGCGCTCCGTGACTTCACGTCCACGAACAAGATGACTGCGCCGACCAGAAACGTTGTCGAGATGAAGGGCGCTTCCTGACCGCTGCCCCTTTTCAGTTTAATAGTGCTTAATTGAGCAGGTAAAGCGATTTGTTTTGAAAGCCAAGACATCAATTAGCATTCCAAAAAATGTTTGTTCGTGCACCTCACCTGAAAACAAATTCATCTACCGAACGGTAGCGTACCAATAGCACAGCGGCAGAAAGGTTGTCGAGATGAGAATACAGTCGGACCGCTGCCTTTTTTAGAATGCTTACCCCAGCGAATAAAGATACTTCGATTGGAAACCCGAAACATTACTTAGCATTGCGGAAAAGATTTGTTCGTGCATCTTGCCTGAAAACAAATTGATCTACCGAACGGTAGCGTGCCGATAGCTCGGCGACAGAAAAGTTAATTGTCGAGATGAGAAGGCAGTCGGACTTCTGCGCTTTATAAAATGCTTAGCCCAGCCCCAGCGAATAAAGATACTTTGATTGGAAAGTCACAACATCAGTTAGCGTCGTGGAAAAGGTTTGCTCATGCGTTTCGCCTAAAATGAATTGACGGCCGATATATATATAGGCGTAGCATATAAACGGGTTCCGCCTTGAGCTGTAACACGGAACCACAACATCTCACAAGTTTCACAGTTTCCTGCGTTGACAACTGGGTGCAAGAATTTTGTTTTTCATTTAAACCTGAACAGCATGCATGGTCGATAAATATATCGGTCAAGGTAACTTTCCGCACATGTGCTTGAAGCGAGTCTTGAAACCTTTCACGAATATTAAAACATTCGTAGAAACTTCCTAACATCATCGTCTTCTTTCTTTCTTTTTTAATTTACAATCTGGCGCTCCACATAGGTCTTAATTAATTTATCTTCGAAATAATTTCGGCTTCTGCCACCGATACCTACGAGATGCCGTGTTCGTCATAACTGTGCGGTCGGAAGTGGCTCATACAGCTCGTCGATAGTTTCGGTGTGTCACGCTCCTGTACGCTATGCTCCGCTAAGTTGCTGCGTTCGGAGTATAAAACTCGGAGCGTCAGTGTACGAGTAAAGGAACGCAGACTTAACGCATCCAATGACGTGGGGACATGTTAAAGAAATTTTCGCCCCTCTTGCTTTTCGCGTGCGTGCGTGCGTGTGTGTGTGTGTGTGTGTGTGTGTGTGTGTGGGTGCGTGTGTGTGTGCGTGTGTGCGTGCGTGTGTGTGTGCGTGCGTGGGTGTGTGTGTGTGTGTGTGTGTGTGTTTGTCTGCATAGTTCACCAGCTCTTCACTCTTAGTAGCTACGGCGGACTGACTCAGTGGGCTTCTCTATCGGTGACGCACCAAGTAGATTACAGAATAAACTTTATTTTCACCGATATATGTATATTGTTGCGTAACGTCTACTACCTAGCTTCCGCTTTTCGATCCTGGCACACGTACACCTCCTCTTCTTCTACTTCATCGTTTTGCGGGTTACACTCGCCCCATCCCAGAGATCTGTTGTCTCGAATAGCACCGAGAAGGTCCCCAACTCAACACTCTGACGTCGCGCCGATGCGGTGGCGCTGCTGTCGGCACTGCGCATGCGCAGATCCTTCGCCTCGGGCGAATCTGGTTTCTGCGCGCGCGCAGTGCCCTCACCCGGTGTGCAAACGCGGGCTTGTTTGTAAACATTCTGTTGGTCGATAGCTTCAGCTGACTGGCATGAGTGAGAAACACTTGTTTACGGTTCCGTCGACAAAGCGCCGAGAGTTCCTCCAGACGGTAGGTGACAGGCCCAAGTTGTTTCTTGATTTGGGAGGGTTCACAGTAGAGCTGAAGAAGGTTTTTCGAAAGGGGTGGCCGATGCAGGTGCCTTCGCACTAGTACCAGGTCGTCTGGTTGAAATGACGGTGGGGCGGCGTCGGTACTCAAGCGTTCAGGAAGGGTGGACTGCTTGTGCAGAATCGCGAGGCGAGCTCTTCTTGGGACCTCCGTCAGTCGCCGGGCGAAGCCGTTGGCCCCGATGGGTCCAGATTCTTGAGGAAGGGTAGCAAGTCTGCCATACACCAGCTCAAATGAAATCTGACAAGTGGTTTCTTGGCGGGAAGTGTTCAGTGCCAACGCAGCTGTACTGACATATTCGTCCCAGTTTCTGTGTGATGTATCCAAGTAAGCTGAAAGTCTATTGCTCAGGGTGCGATTCATTCGTTCCACGAGTCCATTCGTCTGGGGATAGTATGGGGGGTGCTCCTGCGTGTCCGATTCCAGAATCCTGGAGTGCTCGTTCGAAGAGTCTGCACATGAACGGCGTTCCGCGATCAGAAATTATCAGGCGTGAAGATCCATGGCGTAGCACAAGCACGCGGTGGGTGGCTCCCGCACCAGGAACTGCTGCAACCTTAACCCACTTAATAAGGTAGTCAGTCGCAACAGTGATGTATTTGCTGCCCGATGATAATCTAACCATCCGCGTTTTGCCACTGCTAGCTTTGCGCCTGCTGCACGAGTGCTAACTTTGGTGCGCCGCCGTGTTTCCCACGAGTTTCAAGTCGTTCTAAAATTGACTGATATATTGGTTTTCGATTATGCTTACCATGTTCCTAATTGAAACCTGTGGGATTCGACTTGCCTTACTGCTCCACAAGGTCGATCCCACTCCGTAGCTCGATGTTGAGGACTGCTACGGCCGGGTCCGTCCGGAGGCTGCCGTGGACTCCGAGGAGAGGATTCACTCCAAAACACAAAGATTCTGAAGAAGCGGGTTTATTTGGCTCCTGTGCCACCACGCTGTGCCCGTCGGCCAAACTAATAAAAGAAAAGAACGGAAAAAGGTCGGCGCTGTCGCATTAGACAGATTCACCTGAAGGGGGCCCACGCTGCCGCATTAGGCAGATTCGCGGAGAGGGGAAAGCTCCAAAAAGAACGAGGCTCCGTGGCCCAGAGCCTTCCCCGATGAGAGCCAGGGCCGCCGTTCGCGGCCGCTTATCTAGCCAGCGGAAAGTGGACGCGCCCGGGGTAGGTAGTGTGGCTTATCCCGCAGATGGGCCGCGTCCACAATCATTTCCGAAGGGTGCGCCGGAGGCACTTTCACCCAAAAGGGCGAGGGAAGACACGCCCTCTTCGAGGAATGCGGCCTTACCCTCGTATCCGGGATGACGTCGCCATAACGCTCCCACGGCCTGCTTGTGCTAGGCCTAGATAGGGAGACGGGAAACACGTGGTTTCCACAAACCATATCATAATTTTTACTAATTAAAATGTAGTTAAGGAAGTTTAGTTAACTGTCTGACTTATCGCAAAGATTAGCCACCTGTATGATGTCCCCCTGGCCGTATAACTCACCTGCCCAAACTGTATTACTTCATCTTTCACGAATTTTTCTAATAAATCTGTTCGATTTAAAATAAAACACCCGATATATATATATATATTTGTTTTTCTCTATGGCAGCGTAAGTGACCTGCTAGAAGTTTAGAACTTCATATTTTCTCATTTGGTCAGCAGTAGTAAATCTAAGCACTTGGTGTACCCAGCTTCCTTCCCCTGTTATCCACTCGCTTTCTTTCTCGACTTCCTTTCTTGCTCTCATTCGTGTCTCCGAGTGCCATATGAAAAGAGATTCCTTAGAGACCCTTAAACGAAGCGTGCAACAATCTGTCAAAAAGAGTTAATCCTGCGCCTTCTCAAAATAGCTTAAACGTGCTCTCGTTATGAACGAGACCAGGAAAACGAGTGAGACAAGTTTCAGCTGGTTAAGCCGACATTTACCGTGGGTTAAACTGAGCTACTCTATTTTCCGTTAATCTCCAGGTCGTGCTGCAGCCACTACTCTTACGCGCTAATGCTTCCTTCTTTTGATTTCTTTTAACGGGAATTTAGAAAGCGTAAGTTTCTGTTTTAAATTGAATATATTTCCCGGTCCCTTTCCTAGCACCTTCTTCCGCTTGCTTTTATTTTGGTGCGAGAAACGTTACACTCTAAAAATAGTCGAATACGTCTACTCTTCCACGAAGCATTGGGAGAACCAGCGTCTGCATTGTACGCGGTAGCTTGAAAAATGGCGAGGCTTAAAATATACCTATACCTTAATAAAACAAAACAGAAATACAATTCTATTCTACATTATGCAACTGATCACGACGTAGGCACGTGAAACGGCAAACTCAATGATAAAGCGCAAACTGTTTTTTTTTTTTGTCAAAACATATTTCTCGTCATTCGGTGATTGCAGAGATTGGCTCTCTCAAGTGCTTTCAATTAGTGAATTGAAAGATTCCCCGCCTATACAGTCTTAACGTGGGGGTACTGACATGTTAATCATACCCCTCTGGTTTTCTTTTCTCCTTTCATCTCTCCATCCCCTTCCCCAACTAAGAGCACCCAACTGCGAGGCAGGCCGTTTTAGTTAACACAATTGCATTGCTATAGGGAATGCATCTTCGCGAAAATTCAATAGCCTTGGAGCCGTCAGCGTTTGCGTAGTTAGAACGGCTGGAGGCGCGCAAGCCTCGGGCCTTTTGAACTGAATCTATCGTTGTGGACACACTTGGAGGCTGTAGAGGCATCCGTCTTTGCTGTCTTGGAGAATACGGTACCTCGGTGGCTTCGGCGACAGCCCTTTCCCTTGGCGCAACACGAAAGCGCGAAAGCGTAAACACACACGCGTTCCCTCGGACGTGGGCTGTCCACACCGCTAAAGGAGATTTTGGGGCTGCAAGCGCGCTGTCTAATGCAAATGAGCGGAGTATAGACTGTATTTTTCTAGGAAAGAATTTGGTTAATGTTTGTGTTTTCTCCTCTTTCTCTTATCTTCTTCTCCCAAGTGCTTTGCGGGAAATTAGACGCGCCGAGGTTTTTTAGACCATATACTCACGGACGTTTTCTAGAATTTGAGTCACCTCGTGATTCGGTAAGGACGGTTCGTTCTAATTCGCTGTTTTGTTCTAATTGATTGCAGGCCGTGACGGCCAAGGTGGCTGCCGAAAAGGCCTTCGAGTCCTGCTCGGATCTGGCTAGGCAAGAGGTGAGTGGTGCAGTTCTTCTCGGGAAAAGGTTTAGTTGACTTCTGTTCGGAAGAAAAGGGGATTAGTCGATGTTAGTGAGTGTGTTTCTGACGGCTGGAAAATGGCTAAGGCCGTCTCAATCCTGAACTAAGACGATGCTTGTAATGTGTCGAGCTATCGGCCGATTTTGGTAACAGACTGTAGGCGCACAATGTGAAAGCATATGATTTCAAAGCGGAATAATTTTTTTTACTTTTAATTTTGTGCTAAACGGCAGTCGTCGTAGCTTTGGCAAAGGTCTATCTACTGCTAACCAAAAACAACGCAAAATATGACAAAGGACAGGCAGAAGGTGTTGACATGACAAGCGCTGACTTACAACTCTGTAATAATATGAAGAAACTTAAAGCCGTCGAACTACCGAAAACACCAACCACCGCCTATCCGCCTATCTTATCAAGGTATTTACAAACTTGCTTCAAAACGGCACGTGTATGAAATCTCGCTGCTGAACAAAGCGATAAACGGAGAGCTGACAAACATGCCCTCCTCGCATCGTGACATGCTGAACTCCTTCGATCTCTCCCTGGTTCTTAGATTAATGGGCCGTGTCACAATTTCAGTGTTAGTAAAGCATTGCACACACCCGCACCTGTAACAGCATACCGCCAAATGGCCGGAAGGAGACCTCACAGCCAGATCTGGCTGTGAGGTCTGTCTGTGGGGTTTTCTCTTTCTGGCCATTTGACGTTACACTGTGACAGGTGCGGGTGAGTTCCACGCTTTACTGATACTACAAGTGTGACGCGGCACACTAAGCAAAGAACCAGGGAGATATAGCGGAGGCGTTCAGCATGCAACGATGCGAGGAGGGCATGTGTGTCAGCCCTCCGGCTATCGATTTGTTTAGCAGTGATATTAAGTACAAGGGTCGTTTTGAAGCGAGTGTTACGGTCTCGACATTGAAGACGGGACCCCGAGAGAAGGTTAGGAAAGGACGTTTAATATACGTCAGGCAGGTATGGCTACCGAGAAAAGAACTCAAAGTCACGCGGATCATGGAGCGCTCTTGGGGTACTCTTCGTCGTCTTCGAGGACGGCGCTAACATTCGGCCATCCTAGCAATCAAGTGCCCTCACTTGATGTTTCTTCACAACTTTCTTCACTGTCCACATCGAATGTGGTGAGTCGCTTCAGCTTATCGACAAGAGCTGTTGAAGTGTAGAAACGTTGAGTCCGCTGGTGGCCAGGTATGTCCTCGATGCGATAGGTATCGTTTGGAAATCGCTTCGTGAACTCGTACGGACCTTTGTATTTCTCCTGCAACTTGCGCGATTCTCCTATCGACGTCGGTTCTCGCTGAACCACAACGATATCTCCCGGTTCAAACGTTGGAGCATGTCATCGCTTCTGGTTGTAGCGACGCTTCTGCCTCTCTTGACCAAGTCGGATGGCTTGGATAGCTGCCTTCCTTCTATTTGACATCTCTTCGCTAGTTTTAGTAGACAGGTCGCGCAAAGCGTCATCGAGGTGATCGCCATTCAAGCTTCTTGACTCGAAGTTGAACAACAATCTGAACGGTGTGCTGTCTATCGTTTTGTGGTACGTGTTGTTCAGGCTCCACTGAACAAGGTCAGCAACCTCATCCCAGATCTTCTCACCTTTTTCCTTCGTCAAAGTGGCAATCGCTGGAGTGATCGTCCTGTTGAAACGCTCGACTTGACCATTCGCACGCGGTGTGGCTGTTGAAGTCAAAATGTGAATGATGCCAGAGTTTTCACAGTACTTCTTGAATGTCGTGCTAGTGTACGCCACTCCTCGGTCCGTGATTACTCGCGTCGGCGGTCCAAAAAGTCCAACGATGTGTCGCAGGCATCGCGTAGTCGCTTGGCCTCCCGTGTTCTTAACAGGTGTGAGTATCCCAAACTTTGTGAACCCGTCCACAGCTACAATCAGGTACGTACTCCCGTGTCTGGATCTTGGAAACGGTCCCAAGTGGTCCAGATGGAGTGTGTGGAACGGAACACCGACCTTGTCGATGGAATGAAGCATGCCAGGTTTCTTTCCTGTTGGCGTCTTATTATAGAGGCACTCAGCGCATGAGGCGACGTATCTCCGTACATAGCGCTTCATTCCTGCGAACCAGTATTCCTCCTGGATCCGTTTGATCGTCTTTTCCGTCCCCACATGCCCCAGATCATCATGGGAACGTCGCACAACCTGCCAACGCAGTGGTTTCGGGACAAGCCACAGTAGCCTTGATGGGTTTCCATCAATGTTTCGGAAGACAACATTCCTCTGGAGTTTATACTCGGAGTGGATGCGGCGCTCCTCGGCCGAGGACGCCGGTTTCTCCAGAAACTCTTTGATGTGTTTCACATCGGCGTCCAGTAGTTGCGCGGCAACCAACCAGTCATCCGTTTCTTCCATCGCTGTAGCGTAGATATGGAGTCCTTCGCACGCCTCCATCTCTTCCGCTGGTCCAGTCGGAGACCTACTCAACGCATCAACATGCTGCATAGACGCTGAATCTCTGTGCATAACCGTGAAGGTGAATTCTTGCAACCACAACCACCAGCGTGCCACTCGGGGTATGAGTTCACGTTTGCTCATCGTTCCCCGTAGGGCGCTGCAGTCCGTGACAACGTTGAAATCGATCCCAAGAAGATAAGTCCCCAGTCGTTCCAACGTCCACACCACGGCGAGTGCATCCAGCTCGTATGAATGATAACGTCCCTCAGCCTCTGACGTTTGACGACTTACGAAAATCACGGGGTGGAAGTGGCCATCACTTTGTAGTTGAAGTAGCATGCCCCCCAGCCCCCTTTTGCGTGCGTCTGTGTGAACTTCCGTCGGGGCTTCATGGTTGTACAGGGCGAACACAGGGCGTTCCTGCAAGCGCAGCTTTAGGACGCTGAACGCGGTGTCCTGCTCTGTGGTCCACTCCCAAGGTGCGTATTTCTTTAGAAGCTTCGTTAATGGCTGTGCGAGAGTTGCCAAATTCTTGACAAACCGTCTGAAGTAACTGACCAGTCCAACAAACTGTCGAACTTCGTGCACTCGGAACGGTGTTGGAAAGTCAATTAGAGCCTTCACTTTGTAGTCGCTGGGTCTGAGTCCAGTCGCTCCGATCTCGAAGCCCAGATACGTGACATTCTCTGTCATAAAGGTGCATTTGCTTATACGAAGCGTAAGGTTCGCAGCTCGTAGAACCTGGAAGACCTGCTCGGGATGAGTAAGACCCTCATTAAAGTTTGTGGAAGGGATAAGAACGTCGTTCATGTACGCTAGGGCGACACCATATCGCAACGGTCCCAATACGGCGTTCATCATACGCTGAAAGACCGCTGGAGCGTTGGTGAGACCGAACGGCATTTTTAAGAACTCGCGATGTCCGTCAGGCGTCACAAAAGCAGTCTTAGCTCGGGACTCCTTAACCATTGGAACTTGGTAATAGCCCGATGCCAGATCAAGCATCGTAAAGCAGTAGGTTCCCTGGAGTCGGTCCAGCTGATGTTCGATAAGAGGTAGAGGATACTTATCCTTCTTAGTAATCGCAATCAGCGTTCTGTAATCAACACGAAGTCGTGCCTCTCCGGTTTTCTTTTTTACGACAAGTAGTGGGCTCGCATGCTCGGATGATGAGTCGCGGACAACACCTGCTTCTTTCAGTTCTTCAACGGCCTTGTTTACTCGAGTGCGTTGGTCGTAGGACAGCCAGTATGGACGAAAAGATACTGGTTTTGCCCCAGGAACAGTCTCGATGTTCATCTCTGTCGCACTCGTAGAGCCAAGCTCGAAGACGTTGACGGCAAAACAGTCATTGTACTCGTTAATGAGCTCTAGCAACCTGTCAAACTCTTCAGCAGTCACCTGAGGCCCCTTTCGTATATCCTCCGCTTTAATCGGTTCCAGCAAATCCGTCGTCTTTCGCTGGCACGCAGTCTCAATTGTTCCTGAACACCAGGATCCTCTGGCTGCTACTTCTCCTTTCGAAATATGGAGGTCGGACTTTGATACATTCAAAATAGGCAAAACAGTGTTGCCGCCTTCCGAGACGTCGATTACGCAAGCAGGCAAACAGTGTTCCCTGCCCTCTTGCGTTCGAAATTGTGCATCAACGAAGACGTGTCCCGTGGCGGATTCCTTGGTCGTCAGACGAACAATTCCCACGTAGTCCGATGGAATCACGACAGACTCCTTGGCCCAGAGCGTGACAGAACGTGGCGGAAGATTAGGAACTTGAACGGATCGAAGCTGGTCATCTTCATCAGCAAAGCTGCCGTGCTCTTCAAAAATGCGAAGTGTGTTCCTTCTTCGCACGATTGTGACATGTGGTTGCTCAGTAAAGGGCTGTCCAACGAGAAGCGGAATCGCTTGCGCTTCACTTGGAACAATGTAGATTGGAACGCGGGCTGTAGCTTGGTCCACTGTGACGCTTGCTCCCGTCATTCCACACGGTAGAACTTGACCGGAACCGTAGCCCGCAATCTTGCATCCCCGGGACGGCTCGTTATAGCTGATTCCCAAATCGTCGGCATCTATCTTGCGCAACGTAACGCGCTGACTTCCAAGGTCAACGTAAGCTCGAATGCGCTTCCCGTCTACCAGAGCATCTTGAAAGTATTTCTCGTTTCGCGCATTCACTTCCTGTTTATCTCCAATGTGATGACTTTTGACGTTCGTACTACCTTTGGCGCTTGCTCTGCAGTCCGCTGTTTTATGTCCTATCCGTTGACATTTGCTGCAGCGTTCTCGCTTCTGTGGTTTACTGCAGTTTGCAGATATATGTCCGTATTCGTCGCAGTTGAAACAGCGCGGCTCCCCGCTAGAGTTGAAGGCCGGTTTTCGTTTAACAACTCTTTGGGTGGATCGGTGATTCGATGGAATTGTCTTGACAGTCGCTGAAACGATCGCCCCATCTGACCGGTGGGACGCTTCCTCAATGACGGCGAGTCGGTCGTCCAAACTTTTTAGACATTCTAGCAGAGCCTCCGGTGTCGGGAACTTGGCAACGCTC